CCCCAAAACCCCAAAACCCCAAAACCCCAAAACCCCAAAACCCCTTTTGGGAAATTTATAGTGGAAACTATCCCAAAATATGCTAAAAATTTATTATAATTTCAAGTGAGATTGTTCACCTACTCAAAAGGCACTATCGAGACTTCCAAATTTTTACCTGACTGGTGCTAGATCTTCATAATCTTTGAAAAAGTCATAAAAACTTCTAAATTAGGAACAAACTAGATCCAGATTTACTTTCTGTATAACTTTTCTGTGAGGAGTGAAGCCCAACAAAGTCATTGAACTGAGATTTTTTATTTTGTGACTTATGTAAAACGAATTTTTCTAAAATTTAGCATTGAGTCTGTAATTCTCAATATAGTCTGGTCTCAAAATTTGGCCATGCCTTATGAAAAATTACTTGTCAAAATCCAGATCTAAGATGCCAGCAATTATCGAAGATTTGAGCATAAAAACCAGAAAAATGTGCATTATTCTCAGATATGCATTTACCATAGGAAAATCATGGCAAGAGCGCATTTGATCTACAAAACCTTCCCTCTCTATCTGAATTGCTTAGAAGTGAAGTTGGAGTACTAGTTAGGCTCCATTACTTGGACCAAAGATATTTTTTCAAGAACTACTTTCTCTTTCATATTTCTAATAACCTTGCTGAGTTCACCCAATTCCTAATTTTTGTGTTTTATATTTTGATATTATAAAGATTGACTTCTTTTACCTAAAAGTTGGAATATTTAGGCTTCCAAACTGGATATCCAAGTTAGACATGAAGCATTAAGTGAGGGTTACCAATTCTATACCAAATTCAGTCACTACCTCATATCTCTGCACTCAGATGTTAGATATCTAAACCACGATTTAATACTGCAAATAGACTATTTGAGGGGTTTCTAAGTTTCATGAAGAAAAGTTGTATCCATAATGATTGGAAATCCCTGAATACAGCAAGTACTGTATTTCAGGAAATGTTAAGAATGCCTGAGGTGTCAGTAAGTGAAAGACGTAAGCGATTCGTTCTCGATAAGTTATAAGAATGTCATATAGACCAATTTCCAACACAGTTTAACTTATTTGTACACTGAATTGTACACATTATGGGGTATACAAACCGTACTCTCAGTTTAGTGCTCTTATGATTATATAACATCTAAAATATCACTAGACACTGTTTATTAGAAATTTATGAAATATGTATATGAAGGTCTGATGGGGATCATTTCACCGAACGGTTCAAGACTTCGACCAAGAAATTTTTAATAATTTAGCTGCACCTTTTCAGGAATATATACAACAATTTGGGAAATTTTAAAATTTTGGCCGAAAGTGTAGAGAAAATTGATATCTAAAATTAGAATAAAGAAATCATTCATGGCATTAGGCATTCTTCTTGGGAAAATTTACGGCAAAATGGTGAAGAAGATCTCTCTTAGGCTTGAAGAGCTAGGTTTATGGGTTAGTTTAAAAGTTATATGAATTAATGAATTTTAGATAGATTGAGCTTCATCAATTGCCTCAAGCCTTCTCAGCCTCCATTCTTTTCTCCTATGTCTATTTTTGAAGTGTTTGTTAGGAGTCAGAGTACTATCATCGAATTCAACTTGATCAAGACTTTTAAGATCTTCTGGGCTTGTTCAACTATGAACAGACCTTCTTTTAGTTTGACTTTTTATGTCATTGCTTTTATATAGTGCTAGAGAGAAGTCAGAATGCTTTCTTTGGATAACTGAAGACACTTCTTCAGATCTTACTCATTTTTCTTTTATGTGTAACTCTTTAAAATTCAATTCAAGTTCTTTTCCATTTTCTGGGAAATCAAGAATATTCATTTGGTTCAGCTAAATTATTAGTTTCAATTATTTTGATTATAAATGGGGTTTTGGGGTTTTGGGGTTTTGGGG